AGGGGTTCAAGTTTGAGGATTTGGGGTTTGAGGGTTTAGGGTTTGTCTCCCAAGAAGGTGTGTCCTGTGCTTTGGGATTCAAGGGATTTTGTTTAGGTACGGGGATGGGATGCTGTATTGGCTGCAGAATGCTGCAGATTTAGCTTCCTCCTCTCACTTTGGCCATGGGGTAAGGTGTTTGGCGGGTGTAGATTCTGATTTATTGATGGTTGCCAGGGTTCCAGCAGGAAGATGGACCCTGAAGCCTCAAAACCTAGCCCGAAAATCGACAGGCCAGAGAGTACACTTCCTATGGGGTTGGAAACCGAAACGTGAAGCAGAGCACGCTTCCAAATCATGGAGCCGCATCCCCTTGTCAGCAAGCTCAATCGAGACTCTCATCCACAGGAATCCTAAGCCCTGAACCAAGGAACTTAGATTAAGTTATCATAATGGGTATATATAGTACTTAATAGGGTTTCCCCAATCTAGTAACTTAACCCATTCACGTTCCGGCCAAGATCATTCCCCTGGCCTCAGGTGAGATAGCCGAGATTGCTGCGCACGCCGAGTTCCAGAATGCGGAGCTCAACACCTTTCTGGCGCAACTTTGCGAAGCTCATGCAGCTGGAGTCAAGGAAGTTGAGGACTTGGGGTTCTATAGGGATAATGGAAAAGAACATGGAAACTACTATGGTGCGTATATAGGAGGTTACATATGGATCATGGAAAAGAAAATGGAAACTACTATATTTGAATAGGGTATACACTGGGGTTATATCGGGATTTCGGGTTTAGGGTTTGGAGGCGGGAGTCAAGGAAGTTGAGGACCGTTTAGGGCCTTTAGGGGATAGTGGACAAGAAAATGGAAAGTACTATGGTATATTGTTGGTTGTTCTATAGGGATAATGGTGAAGAAAATGGAAGCTACCATTTAGGGTTCAGGGTTTAGGGTTTGGAGTTTTGGATGTTAAAATAAGGTTTGCTGTGCTGACCTGACGTGACGGTGGTCTGGAGGGGGCTCGATGTCATTGGACCTGACAACAACTAGGACCACGTGCTTAGCTCACTTGTTTTGAGCGTAACCCTACACCCCTAATGTTTATGCTTGGGCGGAGCTGAAGGATTTCTTAATTCCTCATTTCTAACCCTTCAAGTCAACAGCAAGCTTGGAAAGCTTCAATCACTATCTGAACTGACGTAGGGGCGTCCTGCTCAGCAGTGTCGTTCCAGAGGTCGCAATGGGAAAGCTGCGAGCACGAAAGCCCTCTCTAACGAAGCTGAGGACCTTCTTGAACATTCTTTCTTCATGGCTCCAACGCTTGCAAAATTACTTTTTTCACGGTTCAAAATGCTTGCAGTAGGTCCTAAACCCCAAATCCTGAACCCTAAAATGCGTGGAATAGGGGTTGTCCTTGATTTTGCATTGAGCGGTCAGCCAGGAGTATGTGCATGCTGTTGTGGAGCTGCTGGCTGCAAAGCCGCTAATGTCACCAGGACCTATCATCATCTAGGGCCTGGGGTCTAGGGCTTAGGGGTTTAGGCTTCAGGGTTTCGGGTTTAGGGGATAAGGGGTGGATAGGGATTATACAGGGATCATAGCCTCGTTTGCTGGTCCGTAGAGAGTCTCAGAGTAGGCGTTTTGGTTCCCAGTGGAGCTTTAAGTGGACCCATGAGATGCAAAAACGAACTTCGTCTCCTTGCTTTAGGCTTTATAGCAGTTTGCCTGAGGTATTCAAATGAAGTATTGTCTAAACTCCTAGTATCCCCCTTGATAACCCCTATAGTAGTCCCCTATATAATCCCCTATATAACCTCCTTTAAGGGGTTTAGATTCTGGCTCAAATAATTTCTCCCCAAGACCTGTGGGTCAACCCTCAGGTGGTACGGCTACCACCTTTAAACCTTGAAGCCTAAGTAGTAGCTTTTTCCATTTTATATTCCATTATCCCTAGATAACCCTAACGTTACCCCAATGGGTACCCTAAACCCTAAATCCCTAAACCCCAATTCCTAAATCCCTAAATCCCTAAACCCTAAATCCCTAAACCCCTAAATCCGTACATCCCTCAGGTGGTACGGCGCGATGCCTCTGTTGCGGCATGGCCTTCCTGCCACCTCGAAAGAACTATCAGCCCCTCAGAGCCCAAAAAAGTGAAACCATTTTGCTAAAGGTAGGGTTTAGGGATTTAGGGATTTAGGGATTTAGGGTTTAGGGTTTAGGGCTATTGGGATAATGGAAAAGAAAATGGAAACTACAGGGATCATAGGGAATATATAGGGGTTCTATACTGGGATAATGGAAAAGAAGATGGGAAATAGGGTATTTATTGGGGTTGTATTGGCATAATGGCAAAGAAAATGGAAACTACTACAATATTATCATAGGGTGTATTAGTCAGAAAATGTGCGGGAGGTAGTTGCCTCTTGCCAGGGGTCTTTGCAGAAGTCATCTGTCGATTTTTCTGCACCGTTATGAAATGATCTTACTATATCCTACAATCCCTACTATCCGTGCATATCCCTATATATCCCTGGGGTCTTTTATCTGCAGCTCAACCACCCCAGTGCCATGTACCGCTGTAGGTGAGCGGATAGCGTTTCCACAACACATTTGTCCGTGTTTTGCACCTACGCAACGTACGTACTACTTACTGAAATTGGTGTGCTAGGGGTTTAATGTCTTGGGAGCATTTTCTGGGATGCTGGGTGGTAGCTCAGCTGTATGCCTGAAGCTTGGAGAAAACAGCCAGAGAAGGTTCTTGAAGCTGGATACCACGCCGCTGTGAAAAGATATTTGCATGGCGCGCGCTGGCGATTGCAGGAGGCTTCAGTGCTCAAACTTCGCCGTATGCGCCAGCCAGAGACTTTGTACTCCTTCGCCCGATTTATTGTTGCCTTTCCTGGCTTGGCATTGGGCTACAAGCAAGATGCACGAAATGATCTCTTCTTCATCGCTTTCAGGGAGTACATCAAGAGCATTACATTGGCGTCCAGCGATTCTGTCGGAGTGGAGGAGGCGAGGAAGACTTATGTGCGCAACTTTGATGCTCTGACGGAGACGAGGTGATTGTTTCAGATCCCAGGTTTTTGAATGACATGGATTTCAGGTTAGAAAACAATTCCATACTGAATGTTTTCAGTTAGGGCAAGATGGGCCAAGGAGATGTGTTTAACCTGGACACACCGCTCCTTTCGCTGGCTTTCGCTTTACACATTCCTTGGGCTGTGGATGCGGTCGATTCTGTGGGAACGGCCAGAGATTTGCTTCGGTCGAAATTTGTCGCTGGATGCGCAGGTGGGCCAGTTGAAGATTCATGGTTTGGAGAAGAGGGCCCTAAACCCTAGACCCCAAAGCCTTTGCGAAGGCTAGAAGGTTGGCAACTTATGCTGCTGCGAGAGCAGCCCTGAAGTCCACAATATTCAAAGCCTAGCCCTTAGCCCTAAACCCTAAACCCTACACCTAAACCCTAAACCCTAAGCCTCCAAAAAACAACCCAAGCCCCTTGGCCCTCAAGCCTTTTCCGGTTTGGTTCTCAAGGTTGGGAAAATGACACAAAGCCTAAACTCCTTAAAGAAGGGGGGCTTGAACGTTATATAGGAGACTATTAAGTGGGATAGGCTATAGCTCAAATAGCCCCAACATAATTACTTTAGTGGTTTCCATCTTCTTTTCCATCATCCCCGTATAGCCCCACCATCTATAGCGCAACATGCCTTAGTAGTTTCCTGTTTTGATTATCCCTACAGTGGCCCGATATACCGTAGTAGTTTCCGTAGCTCAAATGACCTCAGGTGGAGAACCCTGAACCCTAGACCTCAAACCCTAAACCCTGACCCCAAAGCCCAAACCCTAAACCCTAAACCTTAAACCCCAAACCTCAAACCCTCATTCTTAAACCCTAAACCCCTAAACCCCTAAACCCTAAACCCCTCAAACCCTAAACCCTAAAACTCTAAACCCTAAAACTCTAAACCCTAAGCCCTAAAACTCTAAACCCTAAACCCCTAAACCCCTAAACCCCTAAACCCCTAAACCCTAAACCCTGAGGTGGAGAACTGTATTGCTGGAACCTCGAGCACGGAGGGCAAAAGCTCGCAAAGCTCGCCACTACACTTGGCTGCCAAGCATGGACAGGCTTAGAGTTTAGGGTTTAGGGTTAAGTTAGGATATTAAGGGTTTGGGGTTTAGGGTTTAGGGACTTTGAGATGGTAGGGATAATGGAAAATGAAATGGAAACTACTATAATGGAGAATCAAATGGAAAAGAAAATGGAAAATGAAATGGAAACTAGAGATATAATAGGGTAGAATATTAGGGTTTTTCTGTCCAGGGACTTAGGTTAAGTTACGATATTATGAGTGTATGGAGTTTAGGGCTGCTGTTCAGGGGACTTAGGGTTAAGTTAGGATATTAAGGGTTTAGGGTTAAGGGTTCAGGGTTTAGGGTTTAGGGTTCAGGGTTTAGGGTTTAGGGTTAGGGTTTAGGGACTTAGGTTAAGTTACGATATTATGAGTACATGGAGTTTAGAGTTTAGGGCTTACTTAGGGTTTAAGGCTTAGTGCGATATTATGAGTAATGGAGTTTAGGGTTTAGGGCTTACTTAGGGTTTAGGGTTTAGGGCTGGACAGGCCGCATAAGCAGGTATACATGCATGCCTACTGCCAGGGGGGATGGGTACCTTATCTGTTGAGGGCCGATGAATGTTTTGGGGTAACTTACGCGGGGAATAAGAGAAAAACAGGGGTATAATGTAGGGTCATATAGGGATAGTGGAATGAGAATGGAAACTACTATTTAGGGTTTAGGGTCTAGGGCTAGTAGGGAAGAAGGGATATCATGTATATGCGTTATAACGGGATTCCATACAGGGATTGTATTTCCTTATTCCCACTAACCCCCGGATCTCCACCATCGCGGCCTGTATGCTGAAATCAGTGGCAGGCATGACAATGCAGCAGCAACACTGTCAATAATTGCATAAAGACTGCGTCAATGCTAGAAAAGCATCCGGTCAGCGATTTGGTGTTCCGTCAGGCTTTTCGTTTTAGAGTTTTAGGTTGTAGCTCAAGAACAACAGGATAAATTCCAACCCTGGATTCATCGCAGGCTTGAAGACTTCAACGTCAGTAATGAAGCCGTCATGAAGCCTCAAATTCTTACCAGGAACCTCCGGCATCTTACTGAACCCATCACAGAGTGTGATGAGAGACATAGGCGTGCTCTCCTGGTGGCCTTGATTCCTGTTTCTAGCCTCAGTCAACACCTGACTTCAGACATGTTCCAGTAAACATGCCAGTCCTGCCCGCAGTAATAGAAAGTTCAACAGGGGGATTGTCAAAATTATGGTCCCCTTTTGGGTCCCCTAAATTAGGCCNNCCAAAAAGGGACCATAATTTTGCCAGCTCCCCAACAGGCCACATAGACCTCAAACCGTGATCGTGAAGGTGCAGGTCTGCAGCGTGCTTCTGAACAGGGTCGCCTGCAAGCTGTTCTCCCTGACGCGGACGGATGCCAGGAGTGTTAAGGTTTCGGGGTAATAATAGTTATAATAGTTATAACAGTAATTATACTAGTTATGATAGTTATAACAGTAATAATAGTTATGATAGTCATAAACAGTAATACTGTAGTAATAATAGTTATTCTAACAGTAATACTAGTAATAATAGTCTTCATATAAGGTTTGGGGTAGTAGTAGTTCTTATTGTAGTACTACTGTAGTAATATTCGTAATGATAGTAGTCATAATTAGTTCAGGGTTTTGGGGCACAGGTTCAGGGCTGGGGACGTGAAGGCCTTGCGGGCAACCGCTCTTGAGGTACATGGACCCTAAACCCTAAACCCTTTCTACCCCCATATATGGTAACATAGGGTAATATAGGCATATATATATATATACCCTATATCCCCTAAACCCCATTATATTATCCCTACTAAACCCCAATATAACCCTATATAACCCTATGATATAGTAGTTTCCATTTTCTTGTCCATTATCCCTGTATTACCCCCATATATCCCTATATACCCCCATTATATCCCCTTGAAAGGGACCTAATTATTGAGTTTTGAGGAGAAGCCTCCGTTCGCTGGATTAGTGGGATGAGTATGGCTAGATTTGAAGCTGTACTGCCTACAATTCGAGTTTGCCAAACTTTTGAAGCCTACACTCTTTAGGATTCTCTCTATGAATTCAATACCTTGGAAGTCACCAGCAGACTGCTTAGGACAGCGGAGGCTACACACCCCTCCAACAGGCTGCCATGCAGGGGCAGCACGAGGCTGGTGTGCTTCAGGGTTTGCGGTCAGAAAAAGTCGGTGACAACGTGCCTGGGCTGTTGTCTAGGAAGTTCAATCAAGTCACCATATTGAGGAAACCTTATCTTATATATATATATAGATACCCATCATGGTAATTTGATTGAAGTTCCTTAACAGCAACCCAGGTTTATCTCTACCCATGCCCCGTGAGCATGTGATCTGCATTCGTTGCATCTTGAGGGCAGGCATCTTGGTTTACGGGTTTCCGGATGTAGGGGTTGAGTCGTCGTGTTGTCTGAGCAATGGGCCATCTAAGCAGCGGCCAGAGAACGGTCCCCAAGTGGGGTTGGAGATTTTGTTAAGGTCTTGCATGTTTTGACAATCCGGCATCCATAAACTGGAGAACAGAGAAGAAATTGACACCTGACCAGGAAGTCCAACCATATTCCAACAACGGAAGCCCAAAGCAGGATCCACATAGATCCTATAGCCGCCCTCGGAGGAAGTTGCATGTGGACGGTTCTGCTCACTTGTGTAGAGAAACAAGCTGGCACTTTTATAGCTTTTAGCTGCAACCCTGAGTTCATGGACAGCGGGTTTAGGGTTTAGGGTTTAGGTGTCTATAAGGTTTAGGGAAACCCCTAAATCCCCCACAAAAGCCCTGCGATCTTCACCCTTGCAGGTGGTGTTGCTCCTTCAGTCGGCGCAGAAAGCAGGCCATGACTTTTTCTTGGAACTGGGGGAGCTTCAGACGGACTTGTGCTGATTATGGATGCCCTCAGCAATGAGATAGGACCACGGCAGCAGCGTTGATGTCATGCAGTGCAGATATCTGATTCTGGATCCTGATTTGCGTATCAAATTTATCAGGAATCAAAGGCCAAGATTGCTTCCTGAGCTACAGTCTAAATCCTAACCCTAAACCCTAAACCCTCAACAACCCTCAACCCTAAACCCTAAACCCTAAACCCTAAACCGCGTAGCTCTTTGAGCCTGACCCATGGAGTCCTGGCACAGGCTCCAGCATGGGGGACGGACAAGCTTACAACGACTGCCTGAAAGACCTTGGGCCTCGAACATTCGAATATTCGGTTATATTGGATATTAGTGTTATATTAGGGTTATATTAGGGTTACATTGGGGTTACATTGGGGTTGTATTGGGGTTACATATTGGGGTTAAATGGGAATAATGGAAAAGAACATGGAAACTACTATTTAATGTGTTACTTGAGTTTATCCCCGGAGGAGAGTTCTGGAGTGTATGGTCTCAAGTCTAAGTTCGTGTTTGATTCCGGTACGCTGCTGCTTTATGCCACGTTCGCTTCAGAGTTTCGAGTGTTGCTGGGCAAACAGAATAAGCATGCCCAGAAGACTCTTGTTGCGCTTTCGTGAACTACTCTGCCTCGTCAAGAGATCGTCACGAGCAACTCGCAGCATGCAACCGAGGACGATGGCAGAGTTGTGAGGGTTCAGTGGCTTGGAGTCAATGAGAAAAGTTCAGACCCTAAACCCTAAACCCTAAACCCTAAACCCTAAATCCTAAAATCTAAGCCCTAAACCCTAGGGGTAAGGAGTCCTGATAGGCTTAGGGCATTCTCCTCAACAAGCACAGTGGGGCAAAGTTGAGATACCAAGGCTGTCACGTTTTCAAATGTGCTTGTATTACATGTCTAGGAATCATGGCTGTTCGCTGATCAGTTTGTAGGCTATCCGAAAAGAGCTTTATTACCATCCAGCTTACAGGCATGTTTATTCTCGGAGGGTAGGGTATTTCATAACCTTGAACCAGGTTTTGTGTTCAGTGCCAGACCCTTCTGGATCTCAACCCTGCGTCACCCCGCAGTATGCTTCACGCCTACGCAACCCCAGGAATTCCCATCTTACACAGCTAAACTTCCTCTGGGTGGCAATTCCAGACAAGTAGACCTTTAGCGACAAGTAGTTAGGATTTTCAAGGACAATTTCTATGATTCCCATTATTGTTATTCTTCTTATTATGACAATCATTGTTACAATGAATTTTACTAGTAG